GCTTCTAAATATCTGACACATTGTTTTGTGTTGCAGAAATTGTGGTATTGTGGGCGTTCAGACACAGTTTATGTTTATTTTCATTTTTGAAGTTTCAGTCAAAACAGAGAGGAAAAACTCACCAGGTGAGAATATTCCATCACCATCTTTATTTGACCATCCAATAATCTCTCTCATCTTTCGAAGTGTTATTTGTTCCATGAGGACAAAAACAGGGGCAATTTCATAGGTAAACCTGCATGGATAAAGCAAAAAAACCCCACCAATCGAAACCAAATACAGATTCTAAAAACACACAGTAAATTCCCAGGCTATGATTTTTTGTGAAAATGCTTAAGACTCCTGAAAGTTTTCATATAAACTGAGGTTCTGATATTGCAACCTTTACCCAAGCAAAAATCCTCAGGAAGACAATACTGGAAATATTAGTCAATAAAAACTGCAGTATTAGATCTTTTGCAACTTTCTATATAACCAGTGTAAGACGTAACACTCACCATCATAGCACTGCTGACTGCTGTACAAGATGGTACTGTAAAACATCTGTTTCCCAACGTGCCAATTCCACACTTGTGGAATAACATATTGCCAAATCCTTATGAAAACAGTGAACTTCACCGAGCTAAACACAACCATAATTAGAAGTATTGAGCTAGAGCTTCAAAGTCTAAATACAATTAATTACGTGGAGTTATTCTGTTGATGATCTCCAAGGACAACTTATTTCTACAATACCATGAGATCGATAACTGTCAAGAGTAATTATAAATGATGATTTTCTAATTACCAATTACCAAAAACAAGTCAGCAGTCAACTATTGTATCCACTTAATGAGGGAAAAAAACATTGCAGTCTGGTATGCCCTGGTATCACAGACAGATATGTGGATGGAAAGTGACAGCCATACAACCATTTCTGGTGATCAAGGTACATGGATAAATTGCTACTGCTGTATACAAACTCTGCTTGCTGTGTAGCCACAGGAAAAATTAAAAAAAAAAAAAAAAGGATGGGAAAGAAAAAGTAAGCAGAGAGAAACTAAACAATCAACCTAACCTATGATTTCCAAAGGAATCTGTAAGAATATGGCACCCTGACACTTCGGATCCGACTGATGTCTTCCACTTGAATAATTTTGCCAAAACACACATGTTTTCTCTTGAATACTAAAGTGACATTTTGAGAATAGGTACAGCAAACTTTACGGACACGTGGTATGAAGAAGGGAACGTATGTCTGAAAAGCTTGTCTTTTATTTACAGCTACTGGTTAGCTAAAACATTTCTTTATTCAATCTTTATGTGTCCTTAGTCCGTCACAGAAACACCACCACTATTTTTAAAACATTCCTTTAAGATTAAACAGCATTTGTAATTTGTTTAATTGTTGTAATTGCTATTTTCAGAAGCCAAAATACTGCTTATTTTGCTTTTATTATCATTGGAACTGTCAGAGACAGGCAGTTGAACACTGTTCTGAACTTTGGGTGCTGCCAATATTTACAGAGAGACGAAACTAATAAACCAGTTGGTGTCTGCTAACAGCGGGGGGGTTTTTTGTTATGTTTTTGAGCACTGCAAGTCTAGGATATATTCCAGTCTTTATTTAGGCAAAATGACCAACTGAATTTAACAGGAATTTGGTGGTGTATAGATCACTGTAGCCTAATACAAGATACATTTAAGTCAATGTGATCTTTTTCCACCAGTTTAAACACATTTTAATTTTTGTCCTGAGACCTTGCACACTGATGCCTATTACTTACCAGAAGACTTGAAGGCTTCTACAAAAAATATATCATGTTAAGCAATTTTTTTGTATATAAAATATCAAGTGTTTACAAGGGGAATTTTGAATACACTTAAACCCAAGTAACATAGCATTTACTTATTTTATTATGTGATTATCTTCTGAGTCTCCAAAGACTGTCAAAGAAATAAAAGAAGGCTGAAGATGATTATAAATGATAAAGCCAATGCAGCTATATTAGATGATGGCTATGATTTTAAAAATCACATCTCACTAAAGTTCACTCCAACTTATTTGTTTTAAACTGAAATGATTTTAAAAAATGCAGTTAAATGCAGAAAATGTGTTTGGCTTGGAAGGAACTCTCCAACTATAGCACCAATCCAATATAAAATGCTGATTAGATTTTTCATACAGTTACAATCTTTACAGGTATTTCTGTGAATTAATTAAAACAGTCACGAGTCTCATCTCTTTACTAACAGAATAAATGAATGGGAATTTTGGTAGTGGCCAGTACTGACTTTATTCTGCTCTCACCTAAAGGCCAAATCATTTTACTGGGCCAAATCTTTCTAGCTACCTGTTCTCTGGTTTGCCGATATGTAAGAAGCATTCTGACAATAAACATAAAGCATTTTACATCATTTTCCTATGTTATTTTTATAAGCATAAATGCATAATACTGAAAATACCAATATAATTCTGTCATCTTGGCTAACAGTGGGCACAAAGAGAACTTCCAGATAATATTCCTGCTTTTCTAATTTCAGCTGGCTGCTGCGTGGTGAGTGAATGCCCTGTACTATAGATCCCTAGAGCTGGATGAATAATGGCAACTTCTGAAATTTCCACCCTGAAGGTCTTATGATTAGCGATTGTGCTATGAATAGCACATTGATACATTATTTCCAAGTCAATGTGGGAAGCTTATTATGTTTAATTTAATATATTACCTTCACAGTGACATTTAAGTAACATTTCCTAATGACAATTTAAAATTTTAAGAGACTACAGATGTTTCGATTACTTAAAACTCATTTGTGAAAGAAAACACTTCTTTTTTTTTTTAATTAGTCACAAATATTTTAAGTATTGTTTATGGGTAGAAAAGAAAAAATGGCAAATGGAAAACATTCCCTACCGTAATCCAGTGTTACTGTTCCTTGTGAGTTACGTGCATGTGTAGATGAAATAGGCTAGTACAGTTTCTGGGTAAACGTCAGAACCTGCTCTTCTGTGCTGGAACACTGCTCAAAACAAATAATGTGTTCCCAGAGTTCACAGGGACAATTTGGCTATTTTTAATAACCTTCTCTGTCAGTTCTTTGAATCATGTTTTACAAACATCTTGCTTTAACCTTACTTGCAATTATTGTATTATTTGAAAGCATATCATGTTGACCTTGGTTTGCAGGGGGGAAAAAAAAAAAAAAAAGAGAGCACGATGTATTATTTTGCATTTACTAAACCTCATGCAAGCAAATAGTGAATTTTCATGCTCATAGAAAAATAGTTTCAAGATATGTTCTTGTTTAAAGTAGAAATTAGCTTTACAGAACTAGCTATTTAACAATTTACTTTTAAAACCAAAGGAAAAAGCAACCTCATTTTAAAAAAGTTACTCTTTCAGAAGTGAATAAGTGAGTGCGATGTTCTTAATAATGATGGCACTATTTCATAACACTATCACAGTCTGCCACAGAGCTGAATTCTATTATGTCCTATCAGCTTTGTGCAATTTCACTGATTACAAAAGGATAACTAAGCTAGGATAACTAAGTCAAAGGAAAAGGGTCTTGCAAAAAGTTACACTCTCTGAAGTATGTTTTTTGTCACAGAAGAACAGTATTTAAGCAAAGTTTTCTTTTAGAAACGTAATCAGATTTGTTTTCACTTTTAATTGGGGGGGGGGGGGGGGAGACGGGGGGACTTTAAAGCACTTTGCAATACGTTACTGGGTTTTCTTCCCAATCAGCTTTTAAATCCGAATGTCTCATACCAATTTTTAGCAAACACAGAACTAATTGAGATGAAGATTATTACAAAGAGCAGGCTGGTTTTGGCTCAAGCACCTTATGTATTTTTCTTTATTGCTAATGTCACAAAACAGGCACAGCTCGTAATCTACATAGAGCTGCTAGTAATCAGCTATACTTAATGAACCATTTACTCATGGATAGGCCAGTGAAAATATTGTTCATTTTCCAATCTGCAGATATATTTCCTGTCTTCTGCCAATTAGCAACAAACTACCCAAAATAGGGGTAGTTTTAGAGTTAAAACACATCTAATAGAGGACTAAAACAGAGCAGTCTGTTACATGCCATGTATTTGGACTGACATCACATTTTTGAGCATATACAAATCAATATATAAATAAAGACTAGCTGGGCGGGGGGGGGTTGTGCTTGGTGGTTGGGTTTTTTATTAATCACACTCTTTGTTGCAAAAATTCAACATAATACCTTACATTTGCATCTAGCTTTCATTAATTTTGAGGTCAAGAAAGATTAGGAAAAGTTTCCTCACTGATATGTTCTAGATGTAAAATTTTACTTTTTTATACTTCCATTTATTTATTTGCACACAACTTTAATAAATCTTTGATGAGTAATTCCTTCATTATTATCAAATTAATTTTCAATGTTACATTTTTAATTATTTTGAAGCCCAGAAGCCACTTCTTTACCAGCACGTGAACAGGAGAAGGTGGTGTGCCAAGCCTGCTACCTCTGAAGTCAACAGGAGAAAAGACAACAAACTTTAACGTTTTTTTATTCTTGTGTTAATATATGGTTAGCTGCAGGATTACTCAGCCTAGAGACAAAGCTTTTAAAAAAAAAAAGAGAGAGAAAAGATAAAGAAGATTGGTCCAAAAGAAGAAAAATCATTTCATGTTATTATATTAGATTCAGCATGTTTTACTTACCACGTGGTCTGGGTATCTGCATTTCCATTTATCAGAAATGTAAAAGCGTTCAGCTTTAAATAACTATTTTCAGTGTATTACTGCCACGTTCAGAGAAACACGTGACGTTTTCATTGATGACGCAACAATCGTCATTTAAAGAACAAAATTATAGACGCCTGTGACAATACGTGTCTACCATAATAGACGGCAGCCCCAGTAAGCCCCAGTCACAGGCGCTGGCAAGACCACACCGCTTACATGTTGGTGTTAGCAGTTGATGTCAGCCACTCCCCGGCCAGGCCGATGATGTCCAGTCCCGTGGACAGCTGATTGAAAAAGCGAGGGTGGCCTGGAAAGAGAATTGAGAGCAAATGAGAACCGCTATTGCTCAGGTTTCAACTTTCAACCGTCCAACTATTCCGACAGAAGCGATAGTTCCGCGCTCGTAGCACGCTGGCAGCGAAGTTTTCAAAGCAAGTCCTGCTTACGGGGAGGGCGTTAACCGACACTCACGGACGAATCTTGTTACAAACTCGAAAAAAAACCCGCTTTGGAGACAGCTCCTGTGTCGAATCATTAGCGTTTAAATTAAAAGGGAGAACCTTAGAGCCTGTAAAACACCTCCGGAACCTGTGGAAGGGCTCAGGCTAGCCCAGCCCCCGAGCGCCCCCGACCTCCTCCGTGCTGGGAACTCGGGGGGGTGGGAGGAGGATACTTGGCAGTAACAAGCTGCAGGTGCTGGGGTCATTTGCATTTCAATGGCGGAAGAGAGGAAGGCTCATCGGCTTGTAATGAGGCTGTAGGGATGTGGGGGGGTGCGGAGGAGCCTATCTCTGGCTGAGCTGCGCGGCCGCGGGAGCGGCGTTGCGCGGGGTCTCTGCGGGCAATGTCGCAGCGCGGCGGGACCCGCTGCAGCGGGGCGCCGGGAGCCCCCCCGCCCCGGCACGGACCGTTCCCCCGCATGGTTTACAAGCTAGGATTCACCTCATAAACAAAGGCTTTGCTGTCAAACCAAAGTCAACCATATTCCTGTGTTTCAGCCAAAGTTGCTTGAATAACTTTTATAAGCAAAAAGCCCGGATGCTGGGGGTCCACTTTTCCGGCATGAAGAGGTGAAATTCCTAACAAATGATGACGAGGGGGGAAGGTGTCATGATTTAGCCCTTATCTCTGCTCTCTTGGGAAAGGACACGCAGATAACACACTAGAGACAGCCAAGCCCGAGAGGGGGTTCAGCGCTCGACGCCCGGAGGGACCCTGTCACGTCGCATTTGGCTCAACACCGGGAACATCAGCATCTTTTGACATAAAGAAATAAATGCGATTCTGCTCTGGGCCATGTCAGCGGGGACCTTTTGAAGGCGTGAGCCTGCCGGCGCTGCCGCGTCTCGGCACATCCCGAAGAGGAGACTGCCGGGGACAGTGCGGGGACACGGAGGCGAAGCGACCGGGCTGCTCCCGCCCCGGAGAGCCGAGCGGCTCGGGGCTAAAGCCCAGAAATATCACCATGGCTTAGCAAATCAGCACTTCTCTCCCTTGCCATGACACACGGTTTGGGAAGTTATTTTATGAGACATTTCGCTGACCTCCCAAAGCTGTCAGCGAGCCTGCGATCTCCGGACCCTGGGCTGCAGATTAGAGTCCCGCTGGCTTTCAAGGAAGCTTCGCTCGGAGAGAGAACGTGAGCCCTGGAAGCCAGGGAGTGTGTCCTGGGAGGTCCAGCAGCCCTTCCTTAAAGCTGCACCAGCTACTGCTTTGAACAGAGCCTGTGTCTGATCGGATACCTGCATCTCAGTTCTTGGGGACAGGTCCTGTCGTCCCGCAAAAGCTCCGGGGGAGGTCGGGGTGAGGAGCAGAGCTTGCTCGCCACCCTGGCGCCGTCGATACCGGAATAACGGTGCAAGCACACGGACCCCAGCGACTCCGGCTTTGCTGCCGGCCACCTATTCAGCAGCCCACGGGGCTGGCAGTGAAATACGCTCCTTTTTGATTAAGGGCACAAAACCAAAATATGGCCCCGCGGCTCTTGAATAAATCAAACCACCACGTGAATGGGAAGTGACAAGAAGCTAACCGCCACACTCGTCGTCAAGATTTTGTTCCTTGAATGCACCTAAACAGTGGCGAAAGCAGCGCCCCGTCCCTCAGGAGCCATTGCTCGCAGCTGCCTACCCAGAGACTCTCAGACAAAAGCCTCCCTCTACGACCTCCTGCCACTTCGGCTCGGCGGGGGGGCCGCCCCCCCCCCGGGCAGCAGGCCGCGCC